AAAACGTTGCCCCACACTAGGATTTTCTCCTGTGTCGTGGGTGCGTTTACAAACATACAAGTTCACATACACAATGACACCCAGACCCGAAACAACACTTTGTGGATCACACAAAGTGTTGTCACGTGCGGGAATCGAACCCGCGACACGTTGTACGGCAGCCGGTTGCCCAGCCACCGCACCAACCGTGCAGTCATTCAATTAGATTTTTAATTTTCATACCCTGTCGTCATCCCAATTGTTGTTCTCTAAGTGTCCTATAATACTTAATTCACACTTTCAGAGCATGCTCGGTAGAACTAGACTACCTACACAATATGTAGAATACTATTCAAAGGCCGTTAGTTAACACTAAAACATTTCATTTCAGATATTGAGGAAGAAACTGAACTTCCTGCAGTGCGTGAAGACGAGGTGCAAGAGACAATAAGTCCAGCTGTAGAAAAACCTTTAGCGCCACCTAAGTATGAAGTACGCCCTGGTCTTGGTGAAAAGTAAGTTCGATATAGCTATGTTTATATTAACCACTGCCTATTGTATCCTGGTGGCAGAAAAGAAGACACATGATTGTTTTGGGCTATGTAATCGATCTGCTGATGCCTGATGATATAGAATACATGTATCACCATCCTTAAGGTAGGTGCATTGCATACACAATGCATGCATGCTTTAATTGAGCACCTGCCACTTATGTGTGTCGGAATTTTGCTCAAAATTAGCATGCTCAATTCAGGCATGTTTGCGAATCAACTGGCGTTCGATTCTTGAACAGTTTTGTGCATGCTCAATAGAAAGCTTGCTCTTTTAGAGCATGTGTCATATTACCTTGTCTCCTCCGGCGAATATCATAAGGACCGACTAAGGGGCTACACATTTGACAGTGACTATCTCTTTAATAAATCTGACCTTTTTTAACTCTAGCTAGCATTTTAAGTATAGAGATTGCGAATCCCCTCTTGTCTTGAAGAGGCCCCTGGCCCATAGTCGAGTAAAAACTGTTTTTCTATTTAAATTTTAATGCATTACATAATTTGTGTTTCAGATTCCAAGCGGCCAACGTAAAGGAAATAATACTGACGACAATGCAGGAACAACTGATGGGTCGCCAGTACAGGTCCGACCAGGCCCCCAGATGGGTCAAAGTCATAGCTAATGCCATACGACAGAGAGTACAAGAACTTGATATGAAGAGGTAATGGCGATTATCCAATTTTGACAGAAGCGATTTTATTAAATCTAATGCCTAAATAATTTTCAATAGTTGTATAAGAGTGAATCTATAGCTATACACTTTAGAAAAACCAAAATGACCCAGTAGCTGAGAAATGAAGTATAGACTCCCTCGGCCAGCACTTGCTTATTTATTTATTAAACTTTATTGCACATATAGTGAAATTGACGGACTAATGCCGTAGGCATTTTCTAACAGTCGACCATTGGGTGGTGCAGAAAGTTAAGCGGTAGGTGCAAAATTATAGAAAAGAAAGTAAAAACTTGTGACTCCAACAACGAGTCAGATTGCTGTAGTATCTAATATATTTTTTTAACATAGGTGGCACCACCTTATTTAAAACCTATCTAAAAGATAGGGTCTGCATTGAAACGTGTTGCGTATCGATATCTCACTTTTTTTATTAACATTCTATCTTTATTCCAGATACAAGATCGTAGTACAATCGACAATAATAGAAATGAAGGGCGCAGGCGTGAAGTGCGGACAGAGATGTATTTGGGACCCGGAGACTGACGACTACACGGACGCGACGTATAGGAACGAGACAATATTCTGTTACACGACTGTCTATGGTATTTATATGTACTGAAATGTATTTATATAGGTTTTGAATGATATTTTAATAGTGTGTGTAATTTGAATAGCACATTGAACTATGTATATTATTTTTGAGAAGGAAGAAGTGCGTTCTCGCTGTGATTGCACCATTTATGGGGAGCATATTAATAATTTTTCTACTACAATTTTAAATAGAATGAAAGTCATAATGGAGAATTAGGTTTGCGTCTAGTCTACTTCCCAACGTATGTACATACGTCTTAGTAAAATTTCTCAGTAAAAGTGCGGATCTCGGGTTTGCCTCGTGATTTAGGTTCGCCTTTGTAATTATGTCGGACCTGTTTGTATTTTAACTAGCTGTAATACTTAATTTTGTACACTTCACTGCCTACGCTCTCTTGGGCAATAAGAGGCATAATGTTATTTTATTTGATATTAAGTTGTTGTTACTTATTACGTATTTAGCTTTATTTTATTCATTACTTATTTACTATTAATATATTACCAACCAGTGCCTTTAAGTAAATGAAATGAATTGTAGCTCAATATGTTTATTTATGTAAGACGTTTGCACTTTACATAATAAATAAACTGTTTTTTAAAGTGAATATATATTTTTTCTTCATTTGTAATCTAACCCTTATCTATTATAATTTTAAAGCGTGTCTATTGTCTAAATTAATGTAGGACTCGATTGTTAGAAACAGTACTCTAGTTTGATGCCAAAGTATTCTAAAAAGTTACGATGCTTTGAATATCTATCATTATTTGACGAGGAACTCGACTAGTTTCAAGCCATGCCAGAGGCTCATATTCATGAGCAGCATTGCAGCATGACTGTCGCGCTGCTACTGGCTACTCTGGCATGGCGTGAAACTAGTCGAGTTCCTCGTCAAATTATTACGTGTGTAAGCCGAAAACATAATAATTTATTTAATATGTCTCACGAAAGTTACAATACAAACATCAACACACTTAAAATGTATAGGAATATTTTTGTTACAGCAAGCCTGCGTCGGAGCACTAGTAACATACAATAAATATTTAGTACCTATTTATATAATAAATGGTTACATAGTAAACTCCAACAATGATAACATCGTCACGGAATTTTCATACAATTTTCATGTTTACACAAGCAATTTTCAGTTCAGTAGATATCCATAAAGTTATAGCGACTAATATTTTTATACCAGGTTATACCAAATGTATTTATTGTTTAATTTTCATGACTATACTAATTCGCCTCGTATTTCCAATGCGGATGCCTACGTTCTACAGAAATATTTGATGTTAGTACTAAGTAATTTTATTAGTCAGTTGACTTTAGGTGTGTGCTTTATTTGCATAAAAACTTATGATTTTTCTCGAAATATTCGAGCAGGAAGAAATATTCTGCCTAATCTGCCGTCGAATCATTCGAATAACTGTGAAGATACGTTTTGAAGCTGAATTAAATTGAAAATAGGCAATGTGGAGAACCATACTATAAATATTAAACACCTTTTGTATATTGTTATAACCCATGTTTGCAACCGACATAAATGATTTGATTTGGTTCGATCTATATATATAATACTGGGCTCATAATCTCGCTTACTCCTTCAGGAACGAAAATGCGTGACGTTGTGTGTAAATATACAAACATGAGTTTAAATTATTATCTTTGTAAATAAAGATTATGTTTGTTAAATTAAACTTACTTGCAAAGATTTCAATCCCTTCAGTATGTTGGTATACTGCTGGCAAAGACCACACTGCACCATGAATTCTTGGCTGTCGTACGGCACTGCTACCACGTTCGGACATGGATGATCTGAGTCACACCTAAAAAATAAGTAGGCGATAAAGGTACTTAAAGTGGTAGTAAGTGAATAGGTACTCAAACGCCTATAAAATACAAACTATTGCATATTCTAATTGTTCAATGACTGCAAAAAATATATATAGTCTATAAAAAAGAAATACCGAATTCTGTGGAATCGTTTTGCAATTGAATTTCGTATTTATTTTCGCTGTACATATATAAATTTATCCTACGCGATAACAGATGGCGCTACCAGCCACTTATAATGATTTATCAATCAATTTATTTTTTATATTCAGTTAATTTTTGTAATTGTCTCCTAATATGTATTTATGTAGAATCACTTTTTTTTGTTGGTGTACAAAGGTGCCTTTTTTTTTATGGAATAGGAGGCAAACGAGCAGACGGATCACCTGATGGTAAGCGATCAGCGCCGCCCATGGACACCCGCAACACCAGAAGAGTCACACGTGCGTTGCCGGCCCTTTAAAAAGGAGTACGCTCTTCTCTTGAAGGTTTGAAGGTCGTATCGGTTCGGAAATACCGCCGACGACAGATCATTCCACAGTTTTACTGTGCGAGGCAGGAAGCTACGTGAGAACCGCACAGTTGTGGCCTGCCAACCATCTATATGATGGGGATGCATATGCTGTCGTGAGGGTCGATGGCGAAAAGATGCGGCAGGTATCAGGTCAAACAATTCCTCAGAGCACTCCCCGTGGTATAAGCGGTAGAAAATGCACAATGAAGCTACATCTCTACGCATTGCCAAAGTGTCGAGCCGGTTTGAAACACCCGGACATCCAACAATCCGAACGGCACGCCGCTGAATGCGGTCCAGAGGAAGAAGCTGGTACTGGGGTGCCCCCGCCCAAAGATGAGAACAGTATTCCATGTGGGGCCGCACCTGTGCCTTATATAGAAGCAGGCGGTGGGTCGGGGTGAAATACTGCCTCGATCTATTGAGCACACCAAGCTTCCTCGAGGCTAATTTGGCCTTATCCTCTAAATGACCGCAAAACTGGACGTCGCTCGAAATATTGACACCAAGTATTCCAATACCGGCTGAGGCAGTTAGGGGGGTGCTTTGAAACTGAGGAGAGACGACCAACGGCAGTTTCTTAGCGGTAAACACGCAGACTTGTGTCTTAGTGGGGTTAAATTGGACCAAATTAAGTCCACCCCAATCAGAGATTCTCCCTAAAGAGGTCTCGATTTCAGACACGAGTCTGTTTCGGCTCTCTATGACGTTTTCCCGAGAAATGTTAGCGCGGCCGGTGTAGTAGGCATCGCCTGTGCTGTCATCCGCATAACAATGAATGCCGCTGATTTGCAGCATGTCATTGATATGGAGGAGGAACAATGTAGGCGATAGCACGCAGCCTTGAGGGACACCTGCATTTACAGACATCAAGTCAGAGCATTCACCGTCGACGACGACTTTAATGCTTCTGTCTGCAAGGAAGTAGGAGACCCATTTGCATAATTTCTCGGGAAGTCCGTAGGAAGGAAGCTTCGAAAGATCTTCGCCTTCTTGGTCTAATTGAAATAAATGATTTTGACTTTTGATTTTTACAAACTGAGTAGCAACGTTCAAAACAATAATATAAACAAAATAAAAATAATAAGTACTCACTTGAATCTCATGTAATTTTCATTCATTTCTCCATACATGGGCCACTTATGTTCGCACGGTGTGCAATGGCAGTCGAACCAATACTGCTCCTTCAACTCTGCCTGCCTCTTCTCTTTAGGAACAGTTGTAAATATGGGGCCGTAGTTTTCGGAAACTTCTTCACCTTTCTTAATGTTTTTAACTGCGCGAACGACAACATTATTGCCGCAGAAGTATCTGAAAGATGGAATTCATTTAAGGTGATACCTAGACTTTTTTAAATACTTACTTAAGTCTGAGACTCTAAGTAATGAAATGACGTAAAATATAATTAGAGAACTGTCTCACCTCACAACACCAGGATCGCAAGAATGATTGAAAAGCGCAAGAGTTGGGAACACAGCTCCTGCCAGGAACACTGACTTGCCTTCATGCTTGATCACATTCTTATCCACTTTAGGCTTCGGGCACTGCAGCTCAAACACTTCATGAGCGTTGAACTTCAATATCTGCAGATTCTTTAGAATAAGACCTCCAATCAGTGCTACATCGTCTTTATATTTTTCGTCTACAGCCATTGTCTTAAGCTCATCTAGTTCCACTGGCTTGCTCCTTGGTTTTCCATCGAAGTAGCCGCTGACCTCAAGTAGTTTCACGAAGAAGGCTGTCATCTGAGTCCTGTGTAGAAAGTCTAGCTTGGATCTTTTATCCTCGTGCGATACTAAATGGTAGATATTTCTATAGTCCTCAGTTTTGTATGGACCGGGTGGTTTGGCATCCAATTCTTGGCTAAGCTTCGTAAAATAGTCCTTATTCTGTTGGGTGATCATCCTCAAGGCTATGTGGCATGTGATGGAACATCCTGACTTCCAGATGAGGGGAAGGATGTGACATTCATAGCCGTGGTATGACTTTTGTGCTGCCTCCAAGCATTTGTCGCTGCAGAATACTACGTTAGGACATTTTGGACATGGCAGAGGAATTGGACATCTGTAAAAGAAGTAATTTTGGTATAGAATGCCATTGAGATTTGAGGCAAATATCGATTTTGTTAATGAAATACATACTTCATGAAACAGTGCTGACAGTGCGTACCGGAGTACTCCGCCAAAAGTACTCCACTATGAGGTTTTTCCACAAGCAGGATCTCTCCAGGCTCTATATCTTTCGTAGCTGTTGCGAATCTCCCTCTAACTTCATCAGAATCAATTTGAATGGCTTCGGAAGCCGCAGGATACTGAGAGTTGTGTTTTCCTGGAAGTTTGGGCTTTGGTGGAGTCTTTTTCAAAGGTTCCGGGTCTTTCGGGTTCCCGGCTAAGACCAGTCCCTTGTTCAATATCTCCAGCATAAGTTTGGAGTCCGTGCGCATCTTCTGTCGTTTTTCCTTGTCCAATTTTGTCGCTTCGTCTAGAGAGCTGATTGTGTCTCTGTAAGAAAAAAGTAACATTATCATCTAGAAGATCCTTTCAACGAATTCGTACATTTCATAATATACAAAGAAATTATCAATAGCCAAAAATAGTGTTGGTCATACTTCAACACGATTCCATCAGTCCACGAAAACCAACGAAAAGTAACGTTTAAAATTAGACAACTACTTTTTAACTACTCTTTATTATACGAATAAACCGAAAACAAACTGAAAGAAACTTACTGGAAAGCGCTAACAGCTTCCTTGTTCCTCTTCAGCACGAGGAGGCACCGGGCCCTTCTCTCGTATACCTTATAGCGGAGATGACGAGGGTATCCCAGATTGAGGCACCTCTTGATATCCGCCAGTGTGTCTTCATATTGTTCCAGGTGATTCAGAGCTGCCGAGCGGTTTGCCAACACGATTGATAGTTCTTCAGCTGTAGAAAATAAATACATCGTTTGTACTGGCTGAATGAATATAATTTGTGTGGCTGTTGCTTCTGACGGAGAGAAGTCTTTAATGTAGATAAATGGCATGTTAAAAATATTAGTAAGTATAGGTACCTATTTTCCTAGTGGTAGTTAAATCTTATGCTTATCAGTTCTGAAGAGGTACCTTAACTAAGGAACAGGTTTTTAATTCGATATCTTTTG